ACAGTCTGTTACAAAATTATAAGATCGCTTAAAAATTTCATCCTTTTGCTGTGCTGGTTTAGCTTAGAAAATAGAGGATTGAATATCTTTTTTGTGGTAAACAAATTTTTCGAAATTACAGCATTACATAAATATAAGACCACATTTGTCTTTTCTGATATGCTGATGATTTTATTTAACTGTGGAGTCAAGCCTAAACTATGTGAGAAAAAAAAAAAAAAAAATTTAATTTATGATTCTTTGAATTATTAAAATGTTTTGTAGCAGGAATTGTCTCATCTGGAAGTGCAAAAAGTTAGGTTCTACAATGGAAATGAAAGATCTGAGCATGTAATAAGATTCTCGATCATTTTAAAAACTGCTAATTGCAATGTTTCAAGTAAAAAGAAAATTAATCATAAAATAGCACAGCAGACAAGTAAATAAATGTCTTTACAACTGTGTTATTCTAAATATCATAAAGAAGCATATTTGAAGTGGGCAAAGATTATCATGTTCATCAGCTCTACATGGGAAAATAAAATTTATCATTTCAACATTAATAATTATTACTGGCATAGCTTAAGTAAGATTTTTGTGAGTTCTGCAGGTAGATGAAAAGTGGTTCTATTATAGTATGCACACTTTCTTAGTATTTACCTGCATATGCAGGGAAACCAATCTACATTGATGGCAAAATAAATCCAGACAGTTACCGATAAATATTATACAAAAGTCTGATCTCTTTGGTCCAATTTTACAATAGCCTAAATGGAAGTTTCAACATTACCCTTGACATTAAGCATCATAAAATACCTGTAGGATTGCTTGCTTTAAAATTGCCATTATGGTAAAAATAGGACATTGCCTTTAAAAATTGAAATCAATGCCTAAGCAATTTACAAAAACCTTTTCCATATATGGTATTTGTGCCACTTTTTTTTATATTTTTCTAAATGAATTTCTTTTATTATTTACTAAGTTCATACATGAGACCTTTTACTATTTACATTCTGATGCTTGCAGAGATGTCAAATTTCAGGAAGGTCCATTAGTAACCAAAGCTTCAGAAAATACATTCATAAAAAAATTTGATTGATTAATTAACTTTTTTTGCACAAATCCATATTTATTAGAGACAAATTGTATATGGCATTTTTGTTATTCTCAATTCTACATCATAAGCAAGTATGCGAAAAATAATATTCAATATAAAGTCTAGATTATTAAGAGTAAATAAAAAATTAATACATTGATTGTAATGTTTCTTTTAATATGCACTTAATTAACTTATTTAAAATTCTTTTCAGAGTGCACCACATTTCTATTCTTTCTTAGAAGAACTGTGTAGAGACTTATGTCTAAATCGTAAGTAGTTTATTTAAAATATTTTTTTACCTCAAAGAATTGTATATTTTTATGAAGCTTAGACTTATTATATTGTACTTTTCAGTTCCTCCAGATGAAATAAAAAAATCACAGGTACTCTTAATGCAATAGCTAATGAAAAAGTAAAAGCTCAAAAGGTAAATGAGAATTTTGATCTAATATTTATAAAATAAACTAATTTATCCTCTGTTTGTTTTTGAGAAAATTTAGTATCAGCATATTATGTAAGAATTAATAAAATTTCTGTTTATAGGCTAAAGCTGGTAAAAAGAAATCTAAAAAGGCTACATTAAATTTAGGTAAAGATGACTTTACAATAATGGATTTTGCAGATGAATATGAAGATTGTATTTGATTGTTTATAGTAGATTCAAAAATTGTGCTTGTAAATTTTCAATAAATTTGTAAAAATCTGATCTTAATAAAATGTCTTTCATAAAGAAATATCCAAATCCACTTTAGCTTTATATTTCCAGTCAAGTTAGGGCCATTGCTAAGATAACCACAATGAATAATCTATTACCTTTTAAATTAAAAAAAAAAAAAAAAAACTCTCTCTAAAGTCTGCATTAAAATGATTTTAACATTTTTTTCTATAGTATTCTGTTAAATTGTTATATAATTAATAATAGTGTTAATATCTTTACGTTTGAATCGGTTCAATCAATTGATACCAAGAAGTTATTTATATATTTATTTACAAATATGAATTATAATTTTTACTCTTTAAATATCAAACATAATTTTTACAAAATATATATATAAATTATTTTGTACTCTAAAATCAATATCACAGCATAAAAAATAACACGCTTATTTAAGAGCATTATTTGTTAACAAATCCTGCAAATATGAAGAAGCTTCTCCCATCAGTAATTCTGATATCATATCTGAAAATTCAAGTTCTTGGGCTAAACTGTATTTTGTTTTCACATTGGAACATAAGACAAGTAGTAATTTCATATTTCGTACAATATTGTCGGTTTTAGTTGTCAGCTTCTTATACCTGAAAAAAAATTTAGTACAGGAAGACATGCAACATTTTATATTGAAATATTAATCAAATGCTATCATATACCAAGCCATATAGACTAATATTATGGTACAAAAATAATTTAATTCTACAATATAGAACTTTTGGTTTAAAAAAAAGTTACAATATAAATTAAATTGCTGCAGAAAGACAGTGGTTATCTAACTGTGAAATAATAGAATGAACACAGAATTCATTTATAAGAAGTTTTTCAAAATTGTAATTATCTTTGGTAAGGGAATTTTCTATTGTTCTGCAGAAGTGCTTCACTTATTTTAGCAGTAAAAATATATTCATAATTAAACATCTATACAATGAATGATGAAGGATGGTTGCAATTAAAAAATCATTCAAATATTTCAGTAGTATTATCAAGGAGCTAATAACAAATGGTCGAAAACAACACTTAAAATAAAATAATTTTTTGGAATAGAACCTAAAAATGTAGAGAAATGGATTTTCAGTTACCTTTTACAACATCAGCAATCAAAGATGCCTTAAGGCCCATGTAAAATTGAAATTCACGTAAATATTCTCTATCTCCTCTTAGAACAACATTGTGTAATAAAGCTTGACTCCATAACTGATGGTTTCCATATTGTTCAGCTACAATATAAGCCTAAATAAAATGCAGATATGTTTAGTATAAAAGAGAGCTAGGCTACTAAACACTTTTAAAAATATTATTTATCAGTTATTAATTAAAATCAATGTTTATAATTTAGAGGAAAATGTGAACAGAAATGTAACTTTTAAACACCTAAACTCCATATAATTGCATTTTATCTTAATTTTTCATAAACAATGTTTTATTTTTGATTGGAAAATAAAACAATGTTTTATTTTTGATTGGAAAATACATAATTTCATTATGGTTTTTGATAATTAGATCAGCTAAGTATTTGAAATGGTTTCTGAAATATTGAAATAATTTATCCAAATTGACAACCTTATTTTTAGAAAATTTAATATCTAACTGTACTTAAAATGTTTACTACGTCAGCAGCTTAAACACTGATATGAAAATTTTTAATAATGTAATCACACACATTACTTGCAAATGAAATTCCTCTTTAGCAGATAAGATTTATACAATATTTAAGTAGTTTTCTTTTGTATCTTTTCATCATATATAAGTTATTTCATTTAAAACATCAATGCTATATGCATCAATAAAGCAATTTGTTTTTCAAAAGATAATTTAGAAAGTGCTTTTAAACAATGAATAAGAAGTAAGTTGGGAGAGAATATTTTTTCCTATTTTTTAAGAATTAAAGAAATGAAAACAAAATATGCTTTATTTAAATTTGTAGAATGAAATACCAAAGGACACCTTTCTTATTTTTTATTCCTTTTCCCCTTTTTTTTTATTCCTTTCTGGAATTTTTTTTTGGGGGGGCAGTTAAACTAACAATATGGCTAATTTGCAGACTGGTATTTTATATAACTCCAAGGGAAATGTTTTTTTTCTTCTGAAGAATTGATTTTTTCAAAAATTTCAAACATGACCAGAAACACTTAATGATACATTAGAAAATTAAATTATTTAAAAAGTATTCAGCTTTGATCACACTAGCATCCAATTCAGAAATATTAGATAAAAATTAAAAATTTATTTTTGCTATTTCTAACATTTGTGTGTATGTGTTGTATTTAACAGAGTTTATATCAGTCTCACAATCATGCAATATATTAGTCACAAAAGTGTTGTTGTTTCTTATCCCACTTGGCTGGCCAAGCTCACGAGCCCATACTGTTGTGACTGGTAATTATCCTGTTGTGTATGGGTAAGGGGTATTTCCTTTATTTTTTGTATCAATCCAGGAATGGTAGATAACCCCCCACGGTCAGGTCCAAAAGAACTCCCGGTCGGTTTTGGTGGGACCCTTTTGGAGTTTTTGGGGGCAAAAAGGAAGACCCGTTGAAAGCAGAGCGAACGATCTGCGACAGTGCGTGAACCTGGTACACAATTTTTTGCTGTGAGAATGGCTACTTGGATAATTTATAACATATATCTATGTCCATCTTTGAATTTATGGGAGCATTCTTTTTTGTTAAAAGGTTTTGAGGCTACTGGTAAATCACTGCCTACACACTCATGGGGAATATTTCATTTGAGGTATGCGTAATATTATGATTGCTTCTCTATAAACATTTTTTTATTTAGTCTGTTTTAAGCGCAATGTAAAAATCCTAAATTTGATTGTAATTGTATACATTAGTATTCATTAAAAGTAAAGGAAAATAGTTGTTTGTTTCAGTATTCATTTTCGTATTTTTATTAATTGTTTTTATATTAATGTTAAATTATTTGGCGATTTATTTACGAGTATACGTAGACTAACAGCATCATTTCTATGTCGGTATTAACACATACATACTCATAATTGAAGGGGAAGGAAGCAGCTTCTGTTGTGATGGAGCACCCGTAGGTAGAAGTCCGACTTTGGCTCCGTGATGCTCTTACAGTCATAGGAGACTGGGACCTACAGCTTAAAGCGGATTCAACCACTACAAATATCCATGGTACCACCAGATTCGAACCCGAAACCTGTGGCGCTAGATACTCGGCCATTCAGGCCCCAAATTTGTGAATGCCAACAGCACGCGGTGTTCCCAGATGGTCACCCACCCAAGTACTGACCGCGCCCAATGATGCTTGACTTGACGGTGATCGAACGAGAACCGGTATATTCAGCATGGTATGGGCGTTGGCCAGTCACAAAAGTATAATGCACAGCACATCATCAATTCTTATTTTGATTGGGCAATAGATGGAAATTCAACTGTATTAATTAGTTTATATCATTTTTTCGAACAGCCCATTAAATACAAAATGAAAATTTTCATAATTTATGATGATACAATCAAATAAGAAATATAAATTACATGAAATTAAGTTGCAATAAGGTATTACAGAATTGGCTTTTTTTTTTTTTTTAAAGAAACCAAAAATATGCAATGTCAACACAATAAACTCATGAATTTAACAAATATTCCTACTCATAATTAAGTTTGATTCTTCTGTTGAACAAAAAATCAAATCTAAATTTATTTTGAATACAATAATGCTATTTATTTTTGTTTACAATATGATATTTTATTTTAAAAAAAATATTTTAATGCTGGATCTAAATTATGAAGATATAACAAATACAGAAATTCTTCAAAATTAATTTTGATAATATACAAATAAAGCACCATGCAAATAATTGCAAAAACGTTAAATAAATGATGGTATAAGAATTTAATACTTTCAGGGAATGAACACATGAATCTCATAATTTATTCAGAAAAAAAATAAATAAAATAAAATAATGGAATCCAGGATAACATTTCCTAGTTCCAGCATCTGAAGAATACCTGTTATTTCCAAAAATTTAATTTAATACATTGTTTTAAAAAATTTTACCAAAAACCCAAAAAATTTCCTCATTTATAAATATTGTAAGCATACTGTCACATTATTTATAATCTCTATCAATTCTACTATTATCTGTAAAAGTATATAATTGAAATTCTAATTTTTTAATTTTAATTTGATATTACCCTGCTTGCAAAGTTAGACCCCGACGACCATGACACAATATATATTAGGAAAGAACAAGACAGACTTAAAAAGTAAAAATAAAGTTTTGCAAATTTAAAATAGTAAACGATCAGTAATTTTTATATAAACTGTTTAATTTTCATTTCATTTAAGTGGGTATGTTTAATCAATTTTTAACATATTGCTTTATTGAATATGTTTAGCAAAATAAATGTTACTCAGTTTTCTTTAATTCAGTTTCAAACTTTGAATGTTATTATTGTAAGGTACATAATATTAAAAATATGTTAAACACTTTTCATGTAGCATTGCCTAATACGGCAATATGATTTCAACAAAATACAAAGAATAATACCATATTGTATAAACTGCACCTAATTCAGAAATTATGCACACAAAACATGATCCAAAGAAGAAAATTATAGAAGTTAACCAAGTCTACAATGAATTATTATATCTTTGAAGAAGGTTGATTGTTTGATTCACTAGCAATTATATTGAAAATTTGCTTACTTGAGAAAACTTATCATGATCAGTAATGAATCTTGCAACTGAAGTTTCATCTAATCCAATAATCCAAACACCAGAGGGCACAAAATAAATCTGCAGTGCAACAAGCTGTGCTAAACGAGTACAGCTCTGTGCTTGATGAAGACAGTCAGCCTAAGACAAAAAAATTTAATTGTAACTTCTGAATTCATAATAATTATATTTTATTTAACAATTATAAATTAAATTAATATAACATTGATACATGGATACAACATCAAAGTTTACATTTATTAATTAGCTATATTTCCTCAATTGCTTCCAATAAAATATTTTTTATATTATATGATTAATTTATTTTAATTTCCTTTGCAATTCATAGATAATTTTGTATTTTTTTCAGGCAAGAATTTACTTACAAATATTTTTAAATCTAAAATGCAATCACTGAATAAATGCTATTTACCTTACAGTAGCTTTTTGCAGCTTCAGAAAGTTTACTCAATGCATTTTCTAACTGTTCTTTCATTTCATTATCTAGAGCTGAGAATATATAATTGGTAGTGCAAATAAAAAATGTACTTATTAAGAAAAATTTACTAACACAAATACATTTTACTTAGAATATTCAAATACAAAGAAATTTTTAATTTAAATTTTGAAAATTAATGCACTCATTATATTATAATGATAAAGATATTGGATAAGAGAAAATTTGAAAGTTCTAGGAAGAAATGGTTGAAAGTGGAGAAAGATCTGGAAGGAATGAAAATTAGGCATGGAAAAGAAAAGCCAAGAATAGGAAAGTTTTTAATAGCGTTGTTAGGCAAGTCATAGCCTGTAGTATCAGGAATTATTATTATTAATTTTTTAATCAGTCACATGATTGTAAAAATAAAAAGAAAGTGGAAATGTTTTCTATGGGTATTTCTAAATATAAAGTTGTAACTCAGTAATATTTAATTAAGTTAGTTTAATTTTGAAACAGACATTTTTTAATATGTGATACAATGCACAAAAAAAAAAAAAAACTATTAAAAATGCATATTTTTAGACTAAAAAAAAATTATAAAACAACTTTTAACACTATCATTATCTGCCTACTTGTATTCTTCTTGCACAACTGTGACAGTTGTTTTTGTACTGACATCTCCAAAATCTGAGCTTTCTCGCGATACATCCCAAAGCGATTTGCAAGTGCATAAAAATAGTTGTCTCCTTCAGAAGGACATCTTGTTAAATAGTCCATCAAAGCCAATCGCAAATTAGGTATCTAAAAAACAAAGCATTTAATCTTTTTATAATGAATGATAGTATAAAGGTAATAACATTTCAGAAAAATTAAGCATGACTTGATTTCACTTTTTTTTTTGAAAATAAGGAATTCTAATATATTACTCACATTTTCCATTTTTTTCTCAAAAAGTAAGGTCAACTTTTCATTTGATTTTAATATATCAAATACGTACATCATTTCACTGTACCTTCCCAATCCAGTTAAGAGATGAACCTATGTAAATGAATATAAAAAAATTAATAAACAAATAAAGTTACATGATTTAATAAACAACAAAACACAATCATTTTTTTTTTTATTTATTATCATTGTAAGTTAGATAAAAACCAGATTTGATATGATTTTATTGCTTTTGGGCATGAAAAGTATTTTAATATAACAGGTTTTGTATAATTTTCCAACACAGTCTCCAATATCATTTAATGTGTGATAAATGTTATTCTGTTCAATTATGTTCTAGCCAATCTACAGAAATTCTAAGATTCCTTCATTGAATATTAGAAGTACACTTCTCATATAAACTGTCATTTCAAACTTTAGTAAAAGATGATAGTTTAATGAATAATCGTTCATAGGGTGATTGAAAAATATTCAGCTAAATTATAAGGGTAGTAAAAGGGAACCAAAATAAAGTTGTTTCCCTCCCCCTTAGAATAAGTGTTTAAAAATGTCATATTTAAATACTGATGATTAAGAAAGATTAAAAAATTGAAATTGAGAATAGGTTAAATGAAATGCAATAAACATTTCAATAAGTCCTGTTTTTATTGTAGATATTCAAATGAGGGATCACAAACACTAATACAAGCTCCACATTTTCAGTACATGGATCTTACATTTTAAAATGGATCTTAATGGATCAGTACATTTAATGTGCTGGTAATATTACATAAAAAATCTTACCATTATAGGAAATTTATCAGCTTCCTCTAACAATGTTATTAATGTTTGAGCATTGTGAAGAATCTGAGATATTCCATCCATATTACAAGCAGTTGTAAAACATTCATGAGCACAAATACAAAGCTCAACAAGTAATGAGAAATCTGCATAAATAGAATGTATTAAAAACAATTTTTAAAGAAAGGAAACATTAATGATTTTAAACATATTTGAATTGAAATGAAACTTCCATGCTGGATATTAACTAAATTTAAAATGAATAATAAAATAAAAAATAAATAATAATTAAATAAAAAAATTGCTTATGATATAAATTAAATTAATACATTTAAATAAATAAAATTTTAATATAATTTACTTTTCAAATATATTCTAAATCTATAACATTATTTAGTTGTTTTGATAGATTATTAAATTTTTGGGGGCAAAAATCAAAATAAATCAATTTTGTATCAAACGAGTACTAGTTTTTGAATAAAAAGTACTGAAAAAATATTAAATTTAAACTACAAAATTTAATTATAAAATAAAAAATGAAGAACTATTAATAAATGCCAAAATGGTATTTGAATTTGAAAAAAAAAAAAAAAAAAACTTTTAATAAAATAAAACTGATGAGAAATAAAAAAATTCATCTTAACATGAGGATTCTTTAATTTACTTTGATCTGAACTTCTGGCATCTAATTCAGCACATTCTAATGCAAATTTATTCATTAAATTATTTCCCAATAAGGATGGATCTTGGCAGAGTTTAACAATCAACTGAAAACCTTCAATAGTTCGTACAGGATCATAAATAACTCTTTCAGAAAATGCATTTTTTTCTTCAGGAATCATAACTAAAAAAATAAGAAGAAACAATTAAAAAAACTAAATTGAATAGAATAGTTATGATATGCTTTTAACTACAATAAAGCTTACCTAAATCAGATTCACATAAAATTTTAAGTGACTCGGTTATTTCTTCACTTAGGAATTTAGCAACATCTATATCGGCCAACTCGTGAACCACTATAACACTTTTAGCCAAAATGTGCTCATCATTTAATTTATTTACAAGAATATTCTTTAGAAGATTAAAAGGATCTTTTTCCATCGCAACACTCATGTAACCCATTTCCAACACCTGAAAAAAAAAAAAAAGATTTTTTTTTTTGTAATTGTAATGAATGACGGCAATTACAAATATTTACCATTTTATTCTATTAAAATAATTTATATTATAATTACTATGAATTTAAAAAAATTATTTAGATAAAAAGTCATTTGAAAGCATAAAATATTTTAATATCAAATTCTTTTTTTTTTATTCAAAAATTGAGCTTTTATAATTTAATTATAAGGGTATGTGAATTTTCAGATGAAATATGTAAACAAGTATTTTTTCTTTAAATTTAAATTCAGATTTTATCTTACAGCACAAATGATACAATATCAATATCAAAAGAAATATACTGTGATAAATTTCCCAT